TAGGTACGTCTATTAATTTGATCAATAAGTATGCAAATCTAACATATAAACTCTCCGACATGTCGGCTGACTGATAGTTAATGAGCCACAAACTGTTTTTATCCTACATAATTTAATATAAAATATTGCAACGATTTTATAAGCCAAAATGTCAACAAATTTCTCTTCTGACCCTAAATTTGAATCGCCTCGTGATGACCATGAACAACGTAATGAGCATCCTCTTATTGAGGAAGACTCGCCACCAAAAAAATGCAGTTGGGGCTTTATCGATTTTTCGTTTATATTCACATGGAAATTTCTTCTAGTACTTCTAGTTGGGCAATTTCTTTCATTTTGTATTACCTCTACAATAGTGACCAATACTGTATTAATGATTCCTATTCCTACTACACAATCTCTTTTCTTATATATCACGATAGCAATCATTTATACACCAATTACAATTTATAAATATGGTATTAAGAGATATGGAAGGATGCTGCGGAAAAGGGGTTGGAAATGTAAGTTTCTTGATATTTAAACTGATACATCTGAATGAGTTCCTGTTAAATTCGGACTATACAATTCCACTTTCAGATTTTTTACTTGCTCTTGTGGATGTAGAAGGAAACTATTTTGCTGTAAAAGGTTTTGCTTACACATCTGGCTTTTCCATGACATTACTTGACGAATGGGCACTTTTTGTGGTTGTAGCTCTATCACTTAAATTTTTGAAAGCGAAATACCACATAAGTCAATATTTTGGCATGTTTATTTGTCTCGTCGGTCTTGGAATAGTGATCGCGGGTGATTTAACTAGTGGCGGAGACATTCATAATAGTTGGTTATCTATTCTATTTTATTCTGATGGTTTGGTTTTATTATATATTTAAATTGACTTTTTGAACTTTTAGCTGTAAGTGGAGAACCAGCTCCGAATCAACTCTTAGGTGATATATTTGCTCTTATCGGTGCAACATGTTATGGTCTATCAAATACATTTGAAGAATTTTGTGTGAAAAAGAGGCCATTACATGAAGTCGTTGGTCAAATGGGTGTTTTTGGTACGATTATTAGCTGTATTCAATTGTAAGATTATTTTACTATTTTTATTTTACTTTATTGATTCATTGTTTTTGACTCGCTAAAAAAAAAGACTCGATCTTGTGAATTCATGCATCGAGATTAAATAATAATAATAATAATATTATAATAATAATAATAATAATAATAATAATAATATTATTATTATTATTATTATTATTATTATTATTATTAATTTTCAATGAATTATCACTCCCACCTTCAATTTTAAATCATTATTTGAGTCTTAAACTAGCGTTGTGGGTTAACTTTTGCTCTGGAAAAACTTATTTTATTCAAGCGAACCGGTTTAAATGTTTAACCAAATACAATGTGGCTATTAGCTCATGTTTTAACGCGTTAAAAAGTCATTTATGGACGTCAAAAAAAAATTTTTTTTTGTGGGTCAATAACGATGTGTTATTGTCATTCAACGTTTTTGCTTTAATGATATCTGTTTTTTATTAGATGTGCTCTGGAAATTCACGAATTGCAAAATTTAGCACCAGATGCACGAATGAGTGAGTAATATTATATAATATTATCTGCACTTATTACATTTATTGTCAATTAATATTATTAAAATTTTTATATTTGCATTATTAATTCATGTAATATTTAGTCGGTCTTATAATTGCATATAATATCGCTATGATCTTTATATACACTTTAACCCCAGTTCTCTTCCGTCTTTCTTCTGCCACATTTTTCAATTTGTCCCTACTCACCAGTGATTTTTATACTTTCATTTTCCTTTATTGGGTACTCCAACTATCCCCAGTAAGTATTTTAATTAAAATGTTTTTGAATTAAAATATTTTCTTTAAATTAATCTTAATTATTCTTTAGGGGTCTGGGCTTTATTATGCGGGATTCGCTTGTGTTCTTGGTGGTCTTTTTGTATACCACATAAATCCTGCAGAAGAACCTAAGTTTGAACGTGAATATGATGAAGAAGAACTTGATGATAACGTTAATGAAAAAGACTTGGAGTCATCTGTGCATACATAAAATGTCTAATAATAATTAACCAAGTTAATGAATTGGATGTTTATATATCAGATATATATATTTTTGAGAATATTGTATTTAATTGTCAGGATAATTATTTTATCGATAATTTTATATTGTAATCCGTTATTATTTAATATTTAGTTATTTATTTTAGTTCGATTTAAGTGCATTTGACAAGTTTTAAAATAAAAATAGTCATATCTTTTGTTAATCAGGTCGCGAAATCTTGAGAAAAACTTTATTACGACTACTTATATCAAGTTTTAAATCATTGAGCCTTACCAAATATTTCATGCTTTCATACAAAAACATGTAAAATTCATTTTCACTTGGAGGTCATTACGGTAAGATTTTTCATTAACTATGGTTTATTTGCGTTAATTTCGAACAAGGTCTTGTAGTATTATTAGTTCCAAACCATCATTCGCCAATTTTTTAATATATATTATCTAGTTTATCATTAAATTATTATGTTTTCATATCTATGGATTCTAAAACTTCATATTAGTATTCGTATTCGGCGAATATTCGATCAAAAAATTATCTAACGAATAATTCTAATAGGCAAATTTTATTTGAAATAATAAATTTTATTCGAATAATCTTTACTATTCAACATAGTGACTATATACTTATCCGAATAATATTAGTCATTTGGGTCATTCGGCGAATAATCGAATAAATCTTTGTTGATCTAAGTTATTCGAATATTATTCGAATAAAAAATCATTGGTACCTTTTTCATGAAATTGTTCAATCACTTTATTTTTTTATCCTATGTCATGATCGCATGTCAAACATTATGCATTATTCGTGTTATCTTCATTACAATGACTACATTTTCATTACAAAAATGTCTTCGTAGGCTTCATTTGCATTATTAGTTATTTATGCACACCGATTAAGAAAATTATATAGTAAATATTCACGAATCAAATAGCTTATTTTAAATATATACTTAAATTAAAACCGTTCATTTTAGATATATACTTGGATTAATAAATGGATATTGTTGCCTATATAATCAGATCTGGTCCGTAGTTGCCAGATCGAATCAATTTGATTTCTTACCCATCCGGTAGAGTTCTACAAGTAATCATGCCAGGCACGATTGATGTTATGCCAAGCACTGTCACTGTTGGCACTATGCCGGACGGAAATACTAGTGCCAAGTGCCCGCAATTGTTTTTATTATGCTCTGAACTTCTGCCAATGTTTTTAGCACATGCTTCATGAACTAACGTTCTATTTTAGGAGGACATCTAAAGCTGTGTCCAGTCATATAATTTAAATATTTAATTAAAATTGAGATTAGGGTGTTTATTATTAGGATGAGTGCAAAGTTTATACGTATGTAAAATCATCTCCCCAACATTTTAAGTACCCGTTATATATATACTGTATATATTTTGTCTTTGACTTTTTTTTAAAACAAATTTACAACTTGATTGGCTGGTAAGCACAAAATAACGTAAAGGATTAAGGTATTTAGTAAAGTACAGAAGTAGTACAGTACGTTTGTACAAATGTATATCAGATATCAATATGGACGGACGTACGTAACGTACGTAGGTACGAAAATTGAGCAAAATTTTGGTAGTACGTACGTTAAAACAAAATAAAATTTTTCGTACTAGTACAAACGAATATTTTATTAAATTCGAAGCTTCTTCTTTAATACATGAGTGACATCAAGAAAAAACCATACTTTGTTATTAAAAACCGGATTTAATCCTTTAATAACATGATTCCTGGGTGTCACTCACATATTAATATTCAGTTTTTTTATAATAAAAATATAATAAAAACATAAACATTAATTCAAATCATAGTATCAGTATTTTTCGTGCAAGCAAATTCAAGCATATTAAAGTTAAGCGCATATTAATTTAGCAATAGAATGTAATTCATTAATGCTAATGTACACGAAAGAAATATTTCCATTATCAACAATGATAATAAAAGATTATGTCGTAAAACTAGTTTTTAAAATGCAATTGATGTAAAGAAGTTGAATCCACATCTAATGTTAAAAAAATAACCATAAAAATGATTTATTGTTAGATATCGAATTGAAAGAAAAAATTTTTAGGTATCTTGTTCAAACATTAGAAAAGATGCTAAACGCAAAATCTATCGAATTACAACATCGATAATTATAGTATATATTTTAAAAAAATAATAATTTTAAAATATTTACCTTTTCTACGTATTTGATGCAATTTATTGTCTCGTAATTTCGCTTTTATCATTTTGTATATGTCACACCTGAGTTTTCATGAGTTTGTTTAATTTATAAGTACCTTTCATCGTATTGTTTTAAGATAAAATTGGGATATAAAACATGTTAGTTTTAGAATTTCTTAATTGATTCCTTTACTAATTATTCAGTTTCTGGTTCCTGATAATTAATTTTATCATTATGAAACAAGCTCATATTATTATTTTAAAAAAATTTATATATTTACTTAAATTCAAATTAAAATTCTTCAACGCAGAATATATTATCCATATTTTTTAACAATCGAATAAAAAAGCTGAATTGCTACTATAAAGACAATCAATCATGATGAATTAATTATATATCAGAATATTCAATTCAAATATTTGAATTGAAATATCGATCATGCATTAAATATGTAATTGTACGTCTAAGTATAATTTTTCTTTTCTTTTTTTAATAACCATACATATTAACTTATACTACCATACTGTACTAATTTACTATATACCCAAAGGATTATTGCAGGTGCACAATCATATTTTCTCCATTTAACCGACATCATATTGGGTTAGAGTTGGCATTTTATTAGTTGCAGATATATATTAGTAAGCATCGCCTATGTGATGTCGGTTAAACAGTAAATGGGTGTTGGCAAAACAGGTTGAAACCACACTAATCAGATATTCCATTTGTGAGTAATGTAAAATTGAAATTTTGGTATTGTATTAGTTTCTGTTATATACAGAAAGAGCTCTCTAAATGCAATTTTCATAAATAATGACAGATAAATATAAATTTTTTTTTTAATTAGCCTCTTAAGCTTTATAGATATTATTAGTCATAAGTGAAAAATTTTATTTTCAGACAGTTATATTTAATAAAAGTATATTAGGCCATATATACAACTTTAGTTATTGCCTATTTAAGAACTCCACTATATTTATTACTAGGTATAGTTATCTACCACATACTGTATCTAAGATCTGCTTGTAGATCTTTATTTAAACTCTCTAATCAAACTTTACTGTCACTCTGATCTAATCTTCTAAATCTAGAAACACCCAAGTTACTTTAAAATTATTTTATTTTTGAGACAAAAGTTGCTAGAACCATCTATATTCTATTACATATATATAATCTAGAAACAATTGTAGTCTTTTTTAGTAATTTATATTGAGTCTGTAAACAAGTATTATAGTGCACTAATAAAAATATAGTCAGACTTTTCTAAATACATATCATCAAAATTGCCTTCAAAATATGTATTTAGAGTAGGCTGCAATTAGAGAACAGCCAATAATATTACAGTAAATTTGCTATCATGTGACACACAGCTTGATGTTTAAATCTTGACACTTCAGCACTTAAAATTTAAAAAAAAATAATATTCTGACAATTAATTAATCTGAAAGCTAAAATTCTAAAAAAAAATTCAAATCATTTTGAACTGAAAAATTATAATTTTATAAATATATAATCTCTAATATAATAATCTCAAATATAATAATTTCAAACATAATAATATTTTTGTATTTATAATAGTTTATGAAATATTATTATTTAGGATTTTTATATTTGAAATAATATATTTATAGGATTTTGGTTCTTCGGAATATAACTATTTATCATCAGAATTTAGTTCTTTAAGATTTTAAACAACTATATTTAAATTTATGAAATATTATATTCATAACACCATGTTATTATAACACCACCCTATATGTCTTACTTAGAGTTAGGATCCAGTTTTAAGATATATAGTAATATTTATTATACAATATATATTAGACATAAGGTTCTAATACAGTTAGAAGTTTTTCAAAATTGTATAACACAGATCATTTTGATTTATGGTAAAAGATCTGCAATTAGAATATTCTTTTTCTAATTTTGTAGTACAAATTTTGGCCAAATTTTTACTTTGCTGTTGCACTTTTGTTATTTATTGCATAACTGCCTTATAAAGCCTTTGGGATCCCTATGAATCCTTAAACTACATAGTCTTAGAAAGCATTTTATAAAACAATTTTAAAGATTTTTTTAAAACTAGTAGTTATTTTCAGATAATAAAAAATGCTTTTGTTTTTTAAATTGAAATCGATTTTAGAATACTCTTCTAATATATTTGCAGATCATTTCCATATCACAGAATACTCCTAACTGTAATAGGTTCCAATTTCAGTTCTTATAAGGTTTTCAGGTCATTAATCATTTTTATTTAGAGTACCTACACCTATTTATTTAATATATTTTTGAGATATTGCAAAAGGTATTATATAACACAGTGTTATGAATATAACTTTCCTATTTAAATATAGATTATTGTATAAGGTAGCTACACAACATAGTTATACTAAAATTAGAGACAGATGTTTAGTAGGTTGTATTTAAAGTTTTAATAATTTATAATTAATAAATTATACTTATTAATCTAACCTTATAAATTATAGTTATTATATAGATATATAGTAAATAATCTAGTTAGCATTTAAATATAAGCCTGATAATATATAGTTATTTAATATATCTATACAATAACTATCTTATTGTATAGTGTTTAAAATGCAATCTCATATAATAATCATAATCAAATAAAAAAAGTATAATTGTTATATAAAACTCATACAAAAAGCATATATATATAGTATCTTTCAAAAATATCTTATTATATGAAGTATTCTTTTCTTTACAAATCTGTATCACTTTATAGGCATCTTATTTTACTGACAATTAATTTACAGATAAACAAATGTTAGTAAAATAAACTGTTCAC